CAACCAATCTCAGTCATTTAATTTTTAGTAAGGTCAATCTTAGTTTATTTCAAATCAAACAAATCTAAGCAATAAATTTTGATAAAATAGCTAAAACCATGATTAAATCAGTGAATCAGTCAAATCGAAAACGATTCAGCTTAATTAGCTTAGTCAAAAGACCAACCAATTTACAATAAAATTAATTAATTAAAACCTTTAAATTTTATTTTAAAATTTAAACAATTTTGAACTGAAACATGCACAATACTATAATATTAAATTATGAGTATAAGATTCACTTTATATAAGTGAAGTAACTCACTTTTTATTTCTTTTCTCGATGTGGAATTGCAATTATTTTAAAATTAAATATTATGAGAGTTTCAAAATCTCATACAAAATTATTTTTAAAATCAAAATGTCTATGTGAGATTGTACAATAAAAGTTAAATGGAAGCTAATCAATGGAGATTTTCTTAATTGTTTAAAATTAAGAAAATGAAAAAAAATGGTATTAATTATAAGGCTTCTCACTAAAAATCTTCTTTTACTTATATAAATGGGAGCATAAGATTCACTTTATATAAGTGAAACAATTTACTTTTTCCTTTTTTCAAAATCTCATACAAAATTATTTTTAAAATCAAAATGTCTATGTGAGATTGTACAATAAAAGTTAAATGGAAGCTAATCAATGGAGATTTTCTTAATTGTTTAAAATTAAGAAAATGAAAAAAAAAATGGTATTAATTATAAGGCTTCTCACTAAAAATCTTCTTTTACTTATATAAATGGGAGCATAAGATTCACTTTATATAAGTGAAACAATTTACTTTTTCCTTTTTTTCTCGATTTGGAATTGTAAAATAAAAGTTAAATGGAAGCTAACCAATGAGAATTTTCTTAATTGTTTAAAATTATGATATTTCAATAATTTATATAAATTGAAGCATAAGATTCACTTCATATAAATGAAACAATTCATTTTTTCTTTTTCTTTTTTTCTTTTCCCAATTTGGGATTATAAAATAAAAGGTAAATAGAAGCTAGCCAATGAGAATTTTCTTATTTGTTTAAAATTAAGAAAATTCAATAAAAGACTTCTCCTTTAAAACTCCATTTATAAGATTCATTTTATATAAGTGAAACAACTCACTTTTTCTTTATTTTCTCAATATGGGATTGTAATTATTTTAAAATTAAATATTTTGAGAGTTTCAAAATCTCATACAAAATTATTTTTAAATCAAAACTATGTGGGATTGTAAAACAAAAGTTAAATGGAAGTTAGCCAATTGTGATTTGCTTAATTGTTTAAAATTAAGAAAATCAAAAAAATGAATATGAGATATTGACCATAGAGTTTCTCACTGAAAATCTCATTTTGCATATATAAATGGGAGTATAAGATTCATTTTATGTAAGTGAAACAATTCACTTTTTTTTTTCTTTTTTCGATGTGGGATTATAAAATAAAAGGTAAATGAAAGCTAGCTAACAAGAATTAGAGAGGCGTAGTTTAGGTTGGTAAATTTATCATACTCAATCATTTTGTAAACTCATATGCATATTTTAAAAAAAAATCAAATTTATTTTAAAGTCATGTTCATGTGATTTCAATGCATTTATTTTTAATAAAAATATATGATCTATTTATAAAATTATATATATTATTTATTTTTAAAAATTAAATATAATAAAATTACGTGATTATAAATAATAGTCTCGCTCAAAGTAAATTGAACTTTAATTTCTTTAGAATGCTGCTAATAAAAACTGAAAATAAATCAAAGTCAATCAACTGACTTCTTCTCCTCTCCGATATGTGCCTTGTTACATTGTCATCCATGCGGTCATAATCGTGAAATTAACTTGCATCATTGCATTTGGACTATAATATTGTTTTAAAAATATAATTAATTGTAGTCATAGAAGCAAGATGGACCCAATTGGGAGAGATGGGTGACAACCTCCAAATTTCGAAACCTTTTTATTATAATAATAATAATATTAATTATTAAAAAAAGTCTTTAAATTATATAAATTGACCTTTCATTAGAGAGACATATTTTTACTGTACAGTTTGGTGAATCATCAATCTAAACTATGATAAAAGCTTCCAACTTAAACTATCCCAACCTAAACAATTTACTTTTTCCTTCTTTTCCCGATGTGAGATTATCAAATAAAAGTTAGCCAATGAAAATTTTCTTAATTGTTTAAAATTAAGAAAATCAAAAAAATTAATATGAGATATTGAAACTCTCACAAGGCCCTTCACCCAAATAGGATGGGAGTATAAGATTTTCTTTAGAAAAATGTTTTAGAGCACTAAAAGAGTGTTAATTTGTCATTTTCCTCTCTGTGCTTTGTCTTTTTCCTCTTCTTCTTTTTTTTTTTTTGGTGCATGCCAGTTCAGAAGAGTTGCTTTTAGAGCAACTTTACTAGTGGTCTGTATCATATTTGTCCTCTATATATGAGTAAAACAACTCATTTTTTCTTTCTTTTCCTGATGTAGAATTATCAAATAAAAGTAATTATTTAAAATTAAAAAAATCAAGAAAATTAGAATAAAGATTTGGACTTCCTAGAAGGCTTCTCATTAAAAAGACAATTTTCCTTATATAATAGATGATGATTTCAACTTATTTCATATACTTACTTTTATTTTATTTTTTTTAAATCTCTTTCTAAATTTATAAACCAAATACAATTTAAAGAGTACATGGTTACGAGAACCAGCCCCGAAAAGAAGCGGACAAAGTTATTATTTTGGGCCTCAAATTTAGGCTAAAAAATAGGATTCATAAAAATTACTGAAGGTTTTTTGTTTTTGTTATTGTTATTGTTAGACATCAATTAAACGGAGGGCCCCAGTTATTTTGATTTTAACTAACAAAACTCATCTAAATCCAATTCTCACCACCGAACTCGAAAACAAAATTATTTTTATTGGTGATGGAGAACGCAATTATTTTGATTTTCATTTAAAAAAATCTAACGAAGTCCAACACTTAATATCAAATCTAAAAATTAAATTATTTTTATTAGTGGAGAGTTGAAAGTAATTAATTTCACTTTTCCAAACTTCTCCTCAAATCAATTCACCATTCTAAGATTGGATTTTGTTAGATTATCTCTATATACCTTCAGATTTTGTATTATTTTATGTTCTACTTCAATTGTTTGTTAAATTTATTTAAAAATTAAAATTCCTAAAATTTGAATTGATTATTGCTTGTTGGATTGTGAATTTGGATTGTTTACGTAATCAAACTTTATTGAAAGTATATATATATTTTTTGGTACATAACTTTCTTGAAAGAATTTTATTTACATAAGAAAAAAAAAGGAAAAAAATAGAAAAAATAATTCACTGTCAAGCAAGAACTCTTGATTCAATTTTCTAAAAACTAAAAAAATTAATTCGTTAAATGTGTCTGTACTCAATTTTCTATTTCGCTTCCCAAACTTCTGTACACAAATTGGTTTTTGATTTGAGCACGCCTATACTTTATAAACCAATGATTTAAATAATAGTAACAATAGATATATATAACTTAAAACACATAATGAGACAATAAAAAATACATGAATAAATAAGATTTTATAATGTTGATTGATGGAGTCCACTTCTCAAAAATCATATCTATTTACACATTTTATGTGTGTCGTTCTGTGTTTGATTTCTATGTTATTAGTATTATTGTTTTAAAAAAAATAAGTTTAAAAGTTTAATGGTAAACTATTAATTAATTCCTCTAACTTTGGTCTAATTTTCAAATAGTGAGAGCACCATTGGTCAATTGGCATGAGAATGAATTGGTCGACGTATCAAAAAATATCAAATCAATTGAGTCAGATTGAATCGCAATATGTATGACATGATATGCTTTATTTTCAATTATTTCAATTTAATTTTTTACAAAAATAATCTTCTTAATAAAACCATTGATGTAAACGATTTTAATCATTGAATGAGCCATGTAGTGGACTTAGGGAGGCCAAACAACACATCTAATTGACTTTTCCAAGTAAAGTGAAGTCAATTCCTAATATAATATAAGAGCAAGTAATAAATTACGTGTTTGAACCTAGCTACTGCCTATCAACATGTAGGGGTGTAAATCTGACCCGGCATGGTCCGATCCACCCGGGCTCAGGCTGGGCTCGGCCCATGTCGGGCCTCGTAGGCTCCCGTTAAAATTCGGGCCCGGCCGAGCTAGACCACGGGCTAAAAAATTAAGCCCAGGCCCAAGTCCAAGCCCAAGGCTAAATCTAGGCCCAAGCCTAAACCCAGGAATATTCGGTCCTTGGGCTAGGTTTGGGCGGGCTTAACTATTTTTTTAAATTTTTTTTTTTTACCAAAATGTTATTATTTTTTATTAAAAAATATATTGAGCCTTGGGCGGGTCAGGCTTTGGGACGAGCCCTAAGTGGGCTTTAAAAAGGCCGATGGGCTGAGCCATTTACTCGTCCAAATCTACTCATTTACCACCTCTACTTGTGAATGACAAACAACATGGCTCAATTCTGATTTGCATTGCACCATGCAAGAAGCCAAAAGAGGAGCTACGACCATACAATTGCACAAATGTCAGTTATTTTGTTACCAGCAATGCTAGGCCCACCTTCATATCTTCATGTGAGAACTTGGATTTTTTTTTTTTTTTTTTTGGATTTATTTTTCTGGGTTCAACCAAATTTAAGAATTGTTTTAACACAACACGTGGTACCCATGTATGGCCATCCGCCATTATTGGCGGAGTCTTTGACTGGCAATGGCAATTGGTCAGTCACTTCCCTTCTCTCCTCTCCTTTCCTTGTAGGGTCCCCCACTCACTCATCACTGCTCCAAATTCGCTAATGTCTAAAAAAGTAGGGTTGTGTTGTTTTCACACAGTCCAATTTCCATGGCATTTTCAAAAGTCTCTATTCTACACTACTAATGTCCATGGCATTTTCGAAAGTCTCTATTATACACTACTAATGTCCATGGCTTGAAAACTAACTATAAATAGAGCCCTCCCAAACCATGAATGTTCATAGAGTTATTTAGCTTCCCTCACTGGCCTTCATTTCCTTTTTGCATCTGTGTCCAATGGCTTCTTATAGTAGCTCCAAGACCCTCGCAATCCTAGCTCTTGCACTTGCCTTCTGTGTGCAAGGCTCTATAGGTGAGTGACAGTTTTTCTTTTTTAACGAACAATGTCTATTGTACTTTTAACTGCATGATGTGGTAGGAGTATCGAAATATGATCATATAACTAAAAGTGTATTAAAAATCAGAGATGAAAAGTTTAGGACCATGATATATTGATACTCTCAATTCATGCATCGTAATCTTCTTTTTTGTTGTAGCCTAACTTTATCTTACTAAGTTTTATGTTTTTTAGTTTGATATTCATTATGAAAAAATGTGGTTACATAAACACGTTTTTATTAGTTTTTTTTAATTTTTTTTATATTATCATTAAACACAAAAATAACAAGTTCCATGTGTATTTAAATTATTAATGTGAACCAAATGATTTTTTGTCTAATGATAAAAGAAAAAATATGATGAAAAATGTGTATATATGTATAACATCACTCATTTGATATTGCAAAATACCATTCTTGTAAATGTTTATGCAAATCTTTTTACCAAACTAATATAATTGTGATATTTTTGTAATTACATATTAGTTTGATAGATATTCTGTTTCGAAATAGTAAGTTCCAAAACAACTGCACTATTCTCTATACAAATTAAGTTTTGTATATTTCTATTTTTTTGCTGTATGCCCAAACTGACCCATGAGCCTTTTCCTAGTAATGGTTACTTTAAAATTTTATGTCTATTATCATTCATTTTAAAATCTCCTTTTAATTAACTTATTTTTCGTTGTAGGTGGAGGAATCGAATGTGAGAATCTCAACAAGGACTCGTGTGCATTCGCGGTATCATCATCCAGTAAGCGCTGTGTGCTCGAAAAAATTGTGAAAAGGAGTGGAGAGGAAGCGTACATGTGTCGTACATCAGAGATAGAGGCTGATAAATTGAAGGACTGGATTGAGAACAACCAGTGCATCGAAGCATGCGGGCTTGATCGGACGATGCTTGGAATCTCATCGGACTCTCTTTTGGAGTCTCAATTCACACACAAGCTTTGCTCAACTCAATGCTACGATAGCTGCCCCAACATTGTGGACCTCTATTTCAACCTTGCTGCTGGTGAAGGTACATTCCTAACCTATAAGCACAACCATATTCAGCAAGTCTTGTCATCAAAATAAAGTTTTGTTTTAATATGATATTGAAAAATTAGTACATTTGGCAATAAAAATATTTTTCGAGATTTTTATTTTTATTTTTAAAGGCTTACCAAGAAGATTTTAAATTAAAAAATAACATAAAATTATTAAAGGCTCCAATTTTTTCAAGTTTCAATAAAATAAAACCTCATTTTAATATTTAATTAAAGGTTTCGAAAAAATTTTAGAGCTAATTAGAGATTGTTATTATTAATACTAATTGAATTTTCTTTTTTTAAATTGGCAGGTGTATTTCTTCCCAAATTTTGTGAAGCACAAGGGGCAAATGCACGCAGAGGAATGGCTGAGATCAAAAGTTCTGGACACGTGGCACCTGGACCTGAATCAGAAGGTGACCACCCTGTGAAGTTTATGACAGCTCCCCCAACAATGGCTCCTTATTGATTTTGTTGAGCACTGCTATTTTACTATATATATTGAAGATGTTATACTTAGCTTTTAAGGTTGGATTATCAGTATACAATAAGGAAGTTCATCCAAAACTTTTAGTTAAGTAGCCGGACTTGATGGCATGTTTATTTTGCTTTGCTTTGTGCCAATAAGTCAGGTGCTAATTACAATTGGTTTGTAAGATTGATCCACCTTTGCGGTAATTTTTGTCATTTTTGAGTGAGAAAATGAAATGATATGGTTTTTTATTGTATTTTTTTGTGTATATGATTTATATTGAATATGATGTGACAGTTCAGATAATTTTAACATTATTTAACGATTAATAATTTATCGACTGCCTTAGGTAGCTCGAAACTGTTGGAAATGGTTATAAAGTTCTGGATAAAATCAGAATTTTTTTTTAAGTTTGGTCTATTTTTTAGGTGGGTCCTGAGCGTCGATTTTCGCGGGTCAAAGTGGTAACGCGTTCTATGCTGTGTTGTGATTCACGTGGTATATTTGGTTGCTCAAAACCATTACCGAGTGAATGGGAAATTGAAGCCAAAATGTGCTCCATGGAAATAGAGTTTTGGTGGAAATTCCTTAAGGTTGTAAAATGGCTTGTCCCACATTAATTTGGTGGGAAGTTTTGAATGGATTTATAAGGCATGGGTTTGGTACTTGGGGTGTGCCCCAAGGGGTACCCAAGTGTTTTAGAGGGAGAGGTTATGGGCAAAATGGGCTAGACCCATTGGACCTAAAAATCACTCCGCGCGCGCCGTCCGTCCAAGCTAGGCGCGGGTGCGTAGTGTGTGGTTGGGTTTGTTCGACCCAATACTAATCTTTTTGGGCCAAAAACATTTGAATTAATTTTATTTTTTGGTAAAATAAAATCCAGAATTCAAATTAATTCCGGAAATAAACTGGTCCGGTTTTTACTGTGCATCCAAACAGGGCCCTTCCCGTTTTTATCTGTTCAAATTTCAATCCAACAGGTTTGTTTCTGTTTATTCAAATTGAACAGGTTTTGCACCTGTTTAATTCAAACCCAACAGCCATAATTCCATCTATAAATAGGACAGCCCTCATTTGAATTTTGTAACTCTAATTTCGTCCTACATAATTCTGCAAATATTCTTTTCATATTGCTGCATTATTTTCTTCTGTGAGAGAGTATAAACACTTAGTGTGCTCGTTAGGCAAACAATTTGTAGTGCTGCTATTATTTGTAGTAGATCATTTTATCCTGGGAGATAGACGTCCAAATTCTGAAAACACCGTGGACAGGATGAATCTGTCTTAAAGACACAGTGTCAAACACTAGACTTGATCAGATAATTATTCAAAGAAATTAATCAAGTAAGTTGTTTGATTTATTATTCTGTTTTATTTGTTTATTTAATCAGATTTTAATTTTGTTTTTGTAACAAAATAAAATCTGTTTTTATTTATTTATTTTTATTTCGATTGTAATCAAACAAAATTTTCACATTTCTTTTATTTCTTTTATATTCTGATTGTTGTTAAGTACATAACAAAATTTAATCTTTTTAAATACAGGGAAGATTGTCCAACAGAAACACCATAGGCTCGAGTGGCCCGAAATCCAAAACGACGTTGCTTTGGTCTTCTGTTTTTTTTTTCTTCTTTTTTTTTCATAGTTCGCAGGTTCCATAACTCAGAGAGAAGGAAGAAAGAAGAAGAAGAAGAAGAAAGAAGAGGAGAGGAGAGGAGATAGAGCAGAAAAATCAAAACCAAAAATCAAACCCAGATTCAAATCAAAACCAAAAATCAAACAAATCCTCTCTGTTTTTCTATGTGGGTTTGATTCAAATCAAAACCAGACAGATTCAAATCAAAACCAAAAATTAAAATAAAAAATCAAACCTACCCCTCATCAGTTTCCTTTCTCTTTCACACCCATGTGGAGGGCTGCAGTGTTGTTTCCCCTCAACAACTGTTGTCTTCCCCTCAGACAAAGCCCTCTTTCTAGCATTTGCATTCAATTAACAAGAAGTAATGCTATTATAATTCTGACACAGTCAGCAAATTGAAGAAACCATTAAACCCATAACCAATTCTTCATTTGTAATGTGCAGGCAACAAATCATCCTTATAATTCTATAAGAAAGGTCTAACCTTACAGAGACAGAGAGAGTTCTCATATCCAGTAACATAGGTTGTGCATAGGCACCATTGTGTACAGCATTGGTCTTCTCTGTGTGTATACAGATCCCCCTCTCTGTTTTTCTTCTTCTCTTCCTCCTCTCCATCTTTTTTTTTCTCCTTCTCCTCTCCATCTTTTCTCCTTCTCTCTCTCTCGCCTCTTTCTTTCTTCTATCGGTTTTAGAGAGAGGAAAGAAATTTTTTTAAAAAAAAGAAAAAAAAAAACCCAAAACGACGTCGTTTTGAGTATTTAAGCCATTTTAGGCCAAGTTTTTTCAAGCTCTGAAGTGTTTTCCATAATTTATATACACAGTTAATATATATAATTCAGATTTTGAGTTGATTTGGTTGCTCCATGTCATTATCCAAGCCTAATCCGAATTTAATTTAGAATTCTGCATTTCTTCCTAAGCCTACATTGAACTTAAAAATATGTTGGCCAAACCCTAAAACTTTTTGGATTGGACTCAAGTTGTTTGGGTTGTTCCCACCCAAATTGCATCCCAACTCCCGCTTCAATCTCGCATGTTGGACCCATCTCAACAAAGAAATAGGACAGGGACGAGATTTACTTACCCCGCACTGCCACCCGTTTCTGCTTGATTATGTTAACTAAACATAATTTTTTTTTCATATAAATTTTTAATATAAATAACTACAAAATCAAAATATTACACATTTGTCATTGTTCACATCTCTATATTTCAGTTTTACACTTTACCACGCATTGACTTGAGGGTTAAATTATTTCTATCACATTGCCAATAAAAAAATAATAAAAAAAAATCTTTGCCACAGATTAAAATATTAGTAAAAAGTGAGTAGAGCTAGATTATTACAGTAAGTTGACTCCACTCAATTAACTCAAAATTGAAATGGTGTTTGGCAAGTTGGGTTGGGGCTAAAATAGCCACAAAAGACAAAATAGGCTATTTTAGCCATAACAAACAAAACATCACATCCAACCCATAATCATTACACTCTTCTCTCACAAAAAAAGTCAAAAAAGCCAAAAAGTCAAAAAGTCCTTCCCAAACCAAGCTTTTTAGCCCAGGCTAAAATAGCCAAAAAAGCCAAAAAACTAAAAAGCCAACTCACTTCCCAAACAATCTCACTACCAAAGTGTCCCTCATGACTATTTGTGTTACAATAAGTCTAAATAGACAAGGGATTCTGCAATCTATATCTTGCATACTTTTTATTATCATCATGTTCCATTTTTCAAGGTATTAAAGATTGGGGAACATATCATGTTAAAAAAGAAAAAAAGAAAAAAAAAAAGTATTCAATGATATGCTTCAAGGCTTTTGCTAGGGTAGCCTAGTTTTTGTCCTGATGATTTATTGTAATGAATAAAAGTACTTTTCAAAAATTCATCAAGAAATCTTGAATTGGGACAATTTGACTTGTGCACAAAATTGGTAACCGGTTAGAGCTGCCCTATTTTTATACTTTAGAATTACTATATATAGCCTAAAGAATTTTATTATTAATTTTCATCTAACAAATGTCATCTACACATAGAAGATTCAACATAAACAAAAATAATAATAGGTCTTATAATTTTTAAATAAAATGAATCTTATATATCCTCGTTACGTTTATGATGTCTGACATGGATAAGCCCATAAAGGCTATAGCTCACTGTAAACAATCCAAGTCCACTATTTAGGGTCCAATACATAATTCAACTAATGAGACCCAACATGACTGCAACTCAACATGGCATTAAGAACCAATGACACTTAGACACGTGGCAGGTGAAGGACAAGTCACATAAGCAGACAAATATCCTGCAAAGTTATTACACTGCACATCAGCCATTAATGAAGCCCCTTACAGCATTTATTACGATAACCCTTCTCCGTCGAGATTGAATGGCTTTACCATGAACAAGACAACCTAGAGCATAAACTTTCGGCCAAGATGGGAGGTCGGAAGGGACAACGAAATGATTACCAGAGGATATGAGCAGACGTCGAAGACAAGAAGAAGGTTAAGCTTTCTATCTCTAATCTATCTCTACATTTCATCTCTTTTCCTAACTTGCTCGTCGGAGGGTTCGCTGGGGGACTCCCTGTTCCCCGTTGAACTCTTGTGCAGGTTCCTCTATGGGCTCGGTCATTTGGACATTGGTTTGGGAAACGTGGATCAGTCTGACCCAATCCCTCTGGAACGGGCAGCATCATCAGTTGGCGCCGTCTGTGGGAACCCTTTTGCTCCACGCGCCAGTTGTGCTCATTGTCGCCGGAGACCCTTTCTCAATAACCCTTTCCTGCCGCCCACCAAGGTGGATGGTCACAACTAGATCCATGGCTTCTCACCACAATGTTGCCAACCACCAAGCTGACCCTCCCAATTCAAATAACCCCCCACAGTATTTCATCGAGCTCACCAATAGCATCAACCGCCTGACCGAGCCAAACCAAGCCCTGATTAATGCTCTCCTCCAAAAAAACCTTTCTATGCCTCTTCCACCACTTCCAGATATTCCACCCAACCAAGAACGAGCCCTGAGCCATACTATCCAGCAGCCCCATCCACCCAACTTGGAAGGCTTGCGACCCCCTCCCCCAGATATGAACCCTCCACTTTGGGTCCCATACCCATCGGCCTCGGCACCCACCCCCGAGGGCGAGGCCAGTAGTGTCCAGCCTTCGCTCCAATCCGGAGGTGACAACGTCCCTTTCTGGGACGCTGAACTCCGAGCCATGAAGCTCCAGCTTCAAGGAGTCATGCAGAATATACCGAATAAACAATTTACCACAGCTAATTCACCATTTGTTGCCTCCATCCGGGACAAACCTCTACCTCCTAAGTTTAAAATGCCTACGATCGACTCTTTCGACGGTACATCGGACCCAGTCGATCACTTCGAGACCTACAGAACCCTTATGATCCTCCATGCATTCCCTGATGAAATCATGTGTTGGGCTTTCCCCGTAACACTCAAGGGGTCGGCTCGACTCTGGTTTAGTCAACTGCCAGCAGACTCTGTTTCCACTTTCCAGCACCTCAGTGACTCCTTTCTCAGTCATTTCATTGGAGCCCAGCGCCAACGGCGTCCGGCAACCCAGCTCCTCAACATCCGTCAGACTGAGGGGG